TAAACAGTCGGGGGGTCCACGCATTGAAATGAAGAGGGGAAGTAGGGACAGCAAGCAAAGCTTTCTAGTGCGCTTTTGGTTTTTAGTTTGTTGAAAATTAATTTAGTAAAAATTTATTTAGTGAAAGTTAGTTTAATAAAAATTAATTGTTATAATAAAATTTATATTTAAAAATATTTTTTTAAAAGTCAGTTTGATACATTAAAAGTTATTTGATTTGTGATAGTGAAATGCGCATTTGAATGTACAATTATCAAAAAGGACATTGATTTATAATGATTTATAATTTTTATTATACAAATATAATATATTCAAAATATTTTAAAAATGTAATAAAGATTATAAATAACATAAATTTTGATCTATAATGCTAAAAATTTAATCTCTAATTATTTATATTTTTTAATTTGTAATTTTAAAAGATGTAATAAAGATTTGTAATTTTTATTATATATTAATGCTAAAAATTAACATGATTAATTACTCAATTTATAATACTAAAAAAATTGATACCTAATTATTATTATTAAAATAATAATTATATTTTTAATGAATTAACTATTTTTTTAATAAAAAATAAGAGATTAAACTTAGGATAGTATGGTCAAATAATATTTTACTTTTCAAATTCACTTTTCAAAAGTTTTAAATAGTTATGTTTCAGAAATTCACTTTCAACTACTGTTTGAATTACTTTCAGGATGTGTTTTTTTGTAAAATATTCTATTCAAATAATTTTTAATTTTTTAAAAATAAAATTTTGCTTTCTGAATATGAACGGAAAAAAATCAAACGGACCTTAATAGTAGAAGACTTCATCCCTAACCATGACGACTCCATTTCCTTAGTGCTTTCTCGTTTTCAATCCATCGGCGTTGACGTTGAAGCCACGGTCACTCTTTTAGGTACTTTCCCACATCACACATTCATTCACTCCTAATAACTTTCAACAATCACCCATAAACCTAACGTGGGCCTACGTTGTGTTATTAAATTTTGTCAAGCATATTTCAAGCGGTCACTCGGTGGGCAGAGTTCATTGCGTGAATATGGTGGACAGGCTATGCCCAACCATGGATCCGACGTTGGACCCTGAACATGCGGCGCACCTGAAATGCAGGTGCCTAACTCCGAACCCGGATCCGAAGGCTGTTCTGTATGTGAGGAACGACCTCGACACCCCCATAGTGATTGATAACCAGTACCACAAACATATTTTGGCGAACAAGGGTCTTTTCCACAGGGATTCAGAGCTAGCGATTGATCCCTTTGTGCAGAAGCTGGCTTCTAATAATGAATATTTCCTCCAGTATTCGTTCATCAAACACATGCATGCACATAAAATTGGACCGGGCTGACCCATTTTCCCAACACTATATGCATTGTTTCTTTACATACAATCAAAATATGTTTAGTCATCTTTTTGAAAATTTCTTGGGCATTCCTTATAAGTGTGAGAGAAGGAAATTTTGTACATACACAAAAAAATATACCAGCATAATCCCTACTCCCTAGTATAATACATCAAAAAGGTCCCACATATACTCCTAATTTTCTAAAATATCTAAATGTGTCCATTGGGCATATTTGGAGGCATCATCTGCATTAGAGCAGGCTACATATAAAAAGGTGGTAGTGGCGAAGGCATAAACGAAGGTGGCAGTTGCATAAATGGTGGCGATGGCTGCATAAACAATGGAGGTGGCAGTAAGAAGAGTGATGGCGGTGGTGATGACAACGTGACAAGTAAGGGAGTGGTTAAGGTCAATACTAACAAGGGTACTAATGGTGGTGGGGAAAGTGAAGGGTGTAATGAATGGGAGGGTGAGAGAGGTACTATATAGTCTACGATGGGTGGCAACGGAGGATCCTAGATGGTCTTAGAGTGAATGTGAGTGTCCACTATCACTCAAGCTAGTCCGTAATTTGGCACTATGATTGCTATCCAGTTTATTTCTATGATAATACTCTCTATTAGCATATGGACACATTATGAAACGAAAGTAAGCAAATAAGAATTTTTTTACTAAAAACTTTCAATAAGATCTTATTTAAGAACTAATGATAGTCTAGCTGCTTTGAGTGTAGAAAATAATTTTTTTTACTACTAATAAGTCAGATGCATAACAAACTATAACCGAACTAATTAATTACATTAGTCAATAGTATTAAAACAATTGTTAAATAATTGGAAATGAATATTTCTATTTCAAGGATATTTTATCTTGAGAAACTATACTAGAATGTTCCCTAGGGTGAATCTATAAAACAATTTCTTTTACTTGGATCTTCTTCTTAATTAGGAATTTCATTGGGTTTATCCTGTAGTTTCTTTCATAAAAGAAATTCCCTTGAGGAAAAAAAAAATACGCACACATATATCATAATAATAATTTTAAGGAACTTTTGTATATATAACCTATTTTATATGATTAAGCTAAATAAATAACCTAATATTTATTATATTTTATATTATGATTGATTTATTATATTTGTAAATTATATACCCTTGTATATTAATAATAAATTTTTTATAAAATTTTAAAATTTTAATGATAAATCTTTTATATATCAATGATAAATTTTTTATATATCAATGTGAACTAATCATATTCTCACATTTTCAAAAATTTGATCAATATTTTTTGGGCATAAGATTTTTTTTTCTTTTACCAGTGGGTCAATTTATCCTAATTTTAATCATATCATAATACCATAAATAAATATTGACACAGTAAGTAAAAAATTATTATTATAACTAAACAGGAATAACAATGAATATATATATATATATAACTAATAAATAATTACGAAAGGAAATAAATATTAATTTATTAATTAAAAGAAATTTAAGGAGGCAATATATCATTTAAATAACTATAGCTAATACTGGAGCATGAATATCAATGCGCGTGCACATACAAATATTTAACAATTATAAGAAAAAATCAATATTAATTATTTATCTAAAAAAATAATTGATATAAATAAATTTAAATAGACAATGTGGAACAGTAAACAAACTATTAATAACAATGTGTGTATATACATATATGACTAGCAATTATAGAAAGGAATAAATATGAATTATTACACTAACTAAGTAAATAAATAATTATTACATAAAACTAAAACAATATGTATATGTAACAAACACTTATATAAAGAAATAGATATGAATTATTAGTCTAGATGAGTAACTATAAGTAAAATAATAATAATTTTTAACAATTATTAAAAGGAGAATTACATATATATCTCACATAAAAGAATTAATTACTATAAAATTTATTAACAATTAAATTAAAGTTACTAACAATATAATGTGTTATTATTTTTTTAATTAAATTTTTAATAAAATTTATAATAATTAATTCTTTTATATAAAATTTTAATGTAATTTTTTAATTATAAAAAGTTTATAACTAATCATACATAACAGATATAGAAAGCATCAATTATTACTAAAATCTCTAACATGTGAACGCGATGTGCGTGTTATTTGTCCTTTTCTCTCATACCTCTTTTCTCTCTGTCATGGATCACGAGAAAGGGTACGAAGAAATTTTATTTTTATTCAATCTAAGAGTGTGTGCAGTTGTATGAAGATAATACATCTAGGAGCATTAAAATAATCAACGAGAAATATCTAAGCAAATTTTAATAAAAATTAAATAATGACATTGGAAAAGAATAAATACATTATTTAATATAATTAAAAGGCAGGGAAAGATTTAAGAAAAATTTTAAAATGTTTCTTTTTTAAGGCTTCTCTCTAAATCTTGCTTGTTTTACTTTCACTCTCTCTCTGTTTTGTTTTTTTTTTTCAGTCCTCATCAAAAGGGTCCCTCAGCTATGTATAGACAACAAAGTTGAGAACAAGTGGTAGGGAAGCTTCTGACACCATTTTCCCACTGTAACGTTAATTGCCCGACTCATCCGGATCCATTACTTTTGTTTTTTTTTTTTGTGAAAAAATTAATTTTTTAATTTTTTAACTTTTAATTCCCTTATAACTCAGTACTTCAATTATAACTCATTGTGATTCAATCTCTTAATTATGACTCACCTATAACTCAGTTTCTCAACTTTTAAATCACTTATAAATTAATCTCTTAATTTTTGCTAATTTTTTCATGTTAGCTTATATCACATCAATGAGTAAGAAAAGGATATTTTAAAATAATAAATAAGCATTTTTTATTTCTCTTATTTGATAAAAAATTTTTTTAAAAAAATTAAAATATAAGGACTGAGTTATAGGTTAATCAAAAGTTGAGGGATTGAGTCACAGCGAGTTATAGTTGAGAGACTGAGTTGAAGCGAGTCATAATTGAGAAACTAAATTATAAGTGAGTTAAAAATTAAAAGACTAAATAATTAATTTTTTTTAATATAAATTCTTCATTGTCACGTGCAGACGGCTTTCCTTTAAAAAAAAAAAAGCTTTAACCCGCTCTCTTTCTTCCGCTTGCAGCCTTAGGATAAAAAAAATAAATAAATAAATAACTAAGTACATCTTTTGATATAAGACCTTAGTCTGAAATTGCACACATCATCATCAATTATTCCCCTATTTTCGCCCTTTCCCATGTCATATATATATATATATATATATTCTCCCTTTCCTGATGTGTCTTTCGCCATTCACAGTAACATTCTGGTCCTGGAGGTCATTGATGGTTGTTACAGGTCGCCGATGCTAAGACATTTACCGATAATGGGAAGGTTGAAAGAAGAAAGGATAAAAAATGAAAAAAAAAATGTGGAATAGAAACACGGAGCCAATTCTGGTGAAATAGAGTTCTACATGAAATTGAATTTTACCGTACCAAGCTAATTATTTTTTAAATTTTATTTTTATTTCCAATTCTAAGGTCAAACTTTCAGCATACCGAACAGGACCTTAAAACACAGAAATCGAGACATGATTTAATTTTGTTTCACGGTCGAAAAAGAAATAAATCAAATAATAAGTAATACATTAAATAATCTGCACGTAACAGAAAATTTATTAATATTGTAAAAGCGAGTTTTTTTTTTTTTTTGGGTTTAGACCTGGGATATATACAAGACGATTTGACAGTGCCATACTTTTATATCCCGTATATACATGATGGTTTTTCAGATCCTGAAGGCTCTTCTAACATCATAGCCGAAGGCAAATCTTATTAGCAGCAAGATCAACAAGAAAAGAAACAGTCTGATAATATAATAGAGAACATTGGACTTGCTGGGAATGGAAGATGAGATTTTCTCTTCCCTCATTTCTTGTGTCTCCAATTGCTCCTGGCACTCATCATCTTCACTCTCAATTCCATCTTCAGAGCTTCCTTCTTCACAAGTGTTGAAAAACTCAGCCAATTTTTCTGACACAGATTGTAAGCTTCTGTCCAAAGTTTCTTCATCCCCACTATAATCGTCATCCCCTTCGAAGATCAAATGAAACCCACATTTTTTCAACTCTAAACCCTTATTCATAGGCGGGTTTAACCGAGTCACACTAAATGTGTCACCATCTCGCAAGAAGGGCATGAGATGATGGTAATCTGGGAACCTGCAAAGGTGTATGTGTTCTTCATTCGTTGTTGGCAACCCACGCAAGTCCAATCCTGTAGTACATATATTTTTGCCAAGTTTAAGGACATCTAGTTTGATATCCACTACCCCAGGAAGATCTCGCGCTTCAGGTATATCATGGTTGATTGAAAGAATGACGCCTATAATTACACCTGTTAGTTCACGGTTTTTGGGCTTTGAAAAGCTTACAGTTTGCCCTGAAAACCATTTGGGTAATCTTGTTCCTGGCATGCTCAAATTTATTAAATTCCTCAGTGTAACCTGTCATCATGCAAGAAGTCAATTGACTAGTACGGAAAAAAAATTGATGAATCACAAATTAATCTGATTTATCCCTAAAATAAACATGAATGTATCCATATTTTTCATCTTCATTTATTTATTCATTGATGATGGGAGGGGGAAAGAGAGGGAAAGAATGAACCTTGGAAAATCTCTTGCGGATTGTGGAAGAGCATGCAATGCATCCACCCAAGTACAACCACTTCAGAGACTCCAACCGTTCAAGGCCAGGAATATCCACCAATTTTATACAGTTTGCGAGGTTCAGATCCTTTAAACTTTTTAAATTTGAAAGGTCATGAATGCTTTGTAAGGAACAACAGTTTGCAGCATCCAGTTTTGTCAAGCTCGAGGGAAGAGCAGGGAGAGAAACCGGCTCTGTGCAGTTCTGAAGAAAGAGTTCCCTGAGAACGGAAAGACCCGCCAAACTGGAAGGAAGGCTGTGAAATTTGTTTTGGCTTAGATTCAAAGTCTCCAAACACGATAACTTCTCAAAATCATCAGGAATTGACCCAGATATTTTCCAACCTCGGGCATCTAGATCATTCAGAAATATCATTTTGCAGAAAAAAGATGAGATTTCAGTAGAATCCTGAAGCAAGTTATCTTCAGACTTCTTGGCCATTTTCAAAGTCCTTAAGCTCGTAAGCTCACCAAAGCTTTCAGGTAATTCTGTCAGACCCGTTTCCTCCATCCGAAGATGGTACAAGGACTTCAAATGTCCTATAGAATTAGGAAGCCTTCTGAGCATTCTGCATCGGTCCAACCTTAAATGGACTAGATTTTCAAGCTTTCCGATGGACTCTGGTAGTTCTACAATGTTACCATTGAAAATGTTCCAGGTTGTAAGAGCTGTGAGGTTGCCAACCGATTTAGGTAGATATCTCATCTGGCAATTCCTCATTTCAAGCTTTTTGAGTAACGTCATATTTCCAATCTCACCTGGCAAATCTGTGATCACTGCCCCATCTAGCTGAAGCTCAACAATGGAAACCATAGACTTAATGGACTCAGGCAATTTATTCAGAAACTTACAGTTTCCTACTGATAGTTCTTTCAGATAAGACAATGATCCAACCGAAGAAGGAAGCTCTCCAATAGCACTACCAAAAAGCCAAAGCTTTGAAAGTGATACGAGATTTCCAATAGAATCAGGAATCCTAGTGAGAGATTCACAATGCATCAAACTGAGCTTCTCAAGGTTTTTTAAACGCCCTACAGAGTTGGGTAGTTCTTCTAATCCAGATTGGTCAAGAGACAGCTCTTGCAGAGAACACAAGAGTCCGATGTTGTCGGGTAGCCTTTTTAGGTTCTGGCAACCATTTAAAATAAGAATTTCAAGTTTCTCAAGGTGAAAAATAGTCTCGGGCAGCTCCGCCAAAGCCGTGCGATCAGCAAGAAGTTTTTTCAGTGATTTCAAGTTGGTCAAGTTTTCTGGTAACGATTTCAACTTGAAGCAGTATGAGAGACAGAGGGTCTCCAAATTTTTCAGCCCAGATACATCCTTGGGTAACTCAGCAAGTTCCCTGCAAAGAGTCAGATTCAAATGACGAAGTGTAGTCAAATTGCTAATTGATTCATGAATTCTTCTCAGGTTAAAGCAGTTCTCGAGAACAATCTTCTCTAAACGTCGACACCCAGAGAGATCAGGAAGCGTTTCTAGGTTGTAGCAGTGGGACATGTTCATGACCATCATGTTCTCTGGCACCTGCAAGCCAACGTAATATGTTATTATGATATTATAGAATTGATATAGTATCTTAGTTGTGGCTCACTGATTTGCATGTCAGATTTAACCCGCGTCACGCGGTAAAATAAAAGAAAAAAGAGAATTAAGTTTGATTCGTAATGAACATAGCCGACCACAGAGAAAAAGAAAATGAGAAGTTCGAAGAAAATTTTAAATAACGTTCTTAGAGTATTTTATATCATGTTTTCTTGCAAAACAATATTAGACAACTTTTTTTTAGGGGGGGGGGAGAACAATTGCGAGAATATAAAAAAATTACGCTTAGCATGTTCTTTATACTAAAAGCAACATCTTCTAATTTTTTATATTTTTTGTTGGTCCTAAATTTTTTTGCAAACCATCTGATATCTGAAACTACATTAGACTTTGACTAATCTAAATCTAAACCAGGTCGAGTCCTAATTACTAATTAGAGGTGACTCTTTCAAAAGTATTTCACACAAATTTAAACTTGAGACGTCATCATATAAAACAACATATCTATAAACTACACAGGAGTTTATTTTGCATGAATAATTTGAATGCAAGGATTTGTACCCTTCTCATTTTGATAATCCTTTTTAAGTTTCAATTTTTTTAAAATGTGACCCGTTAAGGTGTCCGTAATAATATCATGGCCCCTGTATTGCTGATCGTTAAATTTATAACTAATATAATCAGGATAATGAACTTGAGAATTGAAGCATGAACCAAACCTTGTAGCCTCCCCGATTCCACAAATTCTCAATCTTGCCGCGTGAGAGATCAAGGACAGCCAATTCTCGGAGCAAAAAATCAGAAGGCATGAATTTTAAAGGGCATCCTTTCCATTGTAACCACTTCAATTCTGGAGGGAAAGATTTGAACTTCCCTTCCAATCTCACATTATTGATCTGAAGCAGCACCAAGTTCACCATTGTTTCGAAGGACTTGGTTTGAAGCACGACAGCCTCTCCGTCTATCTCAACTCGTTGAAAATATTTCTTGTTCAACTGCTTAAGGAATGCCCGAGCATTTGCAAAACTCAAACCCCATTGAAGGTGTTTCCCAGAAATTACTTCATCCTTATGATCTTTAGTAGATCTTTCCTCTAAGTCTAGGACCATGCCTTGAATACTCCTCGTTCCCTACGGTATCGAAAGCAGCCAAATATTTAACAACATATATAAGGAATTGGTATTGTTATCAGAGGAGTGGAGAAGAAGCTATAAAAATCGCTAACACCAAAAATCTGAGGCACTTGTGTGAAATGCATGTCAGACATTATATATAATATTTAATGCATGTCAAGATTTTCCATTGGTCTGATATATGCACAGCATGCAATTTGAGAACGTGTTACGACATTGTAGTATTTTATTGAACCAAATCTGATTAAGATAGTTGCAATATGATTAAATAATCTGACATGGCTGCCTTATAAAATTCTGTCTTTTCTTTTGTTTGTCTTAGTCACTCCTCCTGCCCGCAAAAGACAAGGAACGCGAGGACATGCATTCTTTTATTTTACCGAAACGTACAAACAACTATCACCATTTAACTTCAAATTCTTTTGGAAAAACTCAGCAACAGAATAGTGTAGTTATCTACATAAACACCCATTTATTTTAAAGCATAATTAATTATATACGCAGCGGTTAAATTTTTTTTTTTTTTTAAGAATCAAATTATAATGTTATTATAATCTTACAAAAAGCCATTTAATAACCGGAAAATCAATTAAGTTTCCTGCCTTAACAAGGATGATAATGGAGTGGCGAAGCACTTCGGCTCATACAGACATGCAAAAGGAATTTATCTTCAAACTAAGAGATCTTGTCCAGGATCCTTACCTTAAAATTCCTCAAAACAGCTAGAATTTCAGACCGATCCCACAATCTGCTACGCATGCCGGGATCGACAAGGTTTTCATCCACAACGATTTGCCTTCCCATGTCTCTAATTTGATCATGCATCCAAATCGTTTCGTCCTCTCTGATTTTGATCAAACACTTCTCTGTGAGATCTGTGATTGCTATCTCTCCCCTAAATCCACAACCTCTCAATATATCAATCACATCTTCTCGCTTCATACTCATCTGGACGAACAAACAAGCAATGTCGAGGAAGATGGATTTCTCTTGTTCATCTAACCCCTCATAACTGATCTTCAACACTTCCTGGAGATTCCCAGGTCGAGTCTGCTTCAGTTTCTCCACAGCATCAACCCATTCCTTTTCCCTTCTCTTACCAAATAACATTGAACCAAACACTTCCAGAGCCAAAGGCAATCTTCCTGTTAAAGAAACTATTTCCTTCGACAATTTCAAAAGATTTTTGTCCGCAGGTTCATTTCTCCTCATTGCATGGTAACTGAATAGTTCTAGCGACTCAGACTCACCCAATACATGAACCTCGTACAAAACATTAACATGACGCTCAGGCAAAGCTTGTGTATTCCTTGAGGTGACTACTATGCGGCTTCCTTTATGGAACCATTCTCTTTTGACTATTAGAGTATCGAGCTGCTTCACATCATCCACATCATCCAGGATTATTAGACCTGGATATTCATCAACGATTCTTCTGAAAGCAGGAATGTTGTCACCAACCACTACTTGAGATGAAATGTCACTGATAATTCTGTTTCTAAGAGAAATTAAACCTCCATCTTTGGATGAAACTTCTCTAACACTTGAAATGAAGCTGCGATGCTCAAAATGCACAACAAGTCTGTTAAAAAGAGCTTTTGCAAGGGTTGTCTTACCAACCCCACCCATCCCATACAATCCCAATACTCTTATGCCGTTGGATCTCATGTCTAACAACTCCAACAATTCTTCAATTCGAGCATCGAGTCCAACGGTAAATTCAGCAACACCCACCGGAGCATTACTCAGTTCTCTCAGAATCCTTGTCACTATAAGTTGAATTAGGTCTTCTTTATTTCCACTATAACAGTAAATACAGTAAATCACTCAGTAAACACAGAATAGCGAAAACAGAGAATGGTAGGTAGTTGCAATGTAATTGTAAATAGATGAAACTACCTGGGATGCCGGAAAGGGAAGCCAGCAATTCCACCTATTTTCTTCATAGCTTCCCTCCATCTGCTTACCTCTTCTTTGCTCCTCTTGGCTTCGTGTTTCTTGAAATATTTTCTGAATGGACCCTCTTGTTTTCGCACATGACTCGGGTCGACGTTGAAGAACACTGGCAGAATCAGTCTACCGCAGTCCCAAATCTTGGCAAGCTCCTCCAAACACCAATGAGAAGAAGCATATCTAGGGGAGAAGATGATGATCGAAGCGGCGGAGTCATCGATGGCTTCCAGCAGACTCGGTGCTATCTGGTCACCGCGATCCAATCCAACGTCGTCGAGGAAAACCCGAACGTCGCGAGATTGGAGGGCGTTGAAGAGGGGTTTGGTAAAGCAACGACGAGTATCCGCACCTCTAAAGCTCAGGAAGACGTCCCACCGGAGCCTGAATGCTCCTGGAGTCGAAGAAACCACCTCGCCGTCCGGTGACATTTCTGAGCAACGAATCTATATTGCTTTGTAGAGAGGGAAGGAGAGTGCTTCTCGAATGTTGAGGAGATTTTATAGAAGAGAAAGCAATTTCAGATTCTCTGTGCTTTACGCTATTAGGAGAGAAATCGATAGATTTGAAGTGTTCAAATATAATTGCATCTCCGCTGCCATTATCAACGGTTCTGACACAACGCTTCTTGTTCAGCCATGGGGCCATACGTACGAGAAGGGGAAATTTGCCTCGACACTGATGTGTAACGAATGACTAAGCAGGACACTCGAGAAACTTGGACTTCAGGTTGTTGCAATTTCTTTGGCCACAAAAAGTCAAAAACAAAAGCGCTGTCAAGTTTTTATATGTCAGAGAGATCTTAAAAATCTGAGCCTGCCCTCCTTGCTACCTGTGTGAAAATAAAATTTTATAAGAACATATTTAATTATCTTTAATAATTTAATGGGATGTTATTTAATTTCATATTTTAGTTGTTAAAACCTAAACTGAGGATTGTTTATATGAAGTCAATATTTATATGATTAAACATGTATTATCATTTATAATTACTTCTTAATTTTAAATAGGTTGATTTTAATTATATATAGTTACAGGTTAAAACTTAAATCGATACTTATTTATAAAAAATTAACAAATATACTTATGTTATTAATTATAGTCACTCATTAATTTTGAATAGGTTGTGGTTAATAACATAAGGTTACTTGTTAAAATTTAAATAAATATTTATCTATATTTATACAAAACCAACACTTATATAATTAGATGTTCTATCATTTTTTACAACTTATTAATTTTTAAATGGGTTGTTATTACTTGTCAAAATCGGAATATACGTTTGTTTATTCATCCAAAAAATCTCAAGAGTAATTAGGCTTTTTCACAATTTTTTTTTCACACAGATATTTAGAAATGCGGTGAGATTTTTTATTTTTAAGATCTTTCTTGGCTATAAAAGCTTTTCATTTTCAAGGATCCGTAGATAATATTTTTTCAAAACAAAATTACATCATTCTTTTATAAAAAAATAGTTGCTTAATTCTAAGCCACTCCCTTCATACACTAGTACGATTAAATTGCAGCATTCTTTTAGAAGCAGCTTTTAATAATAATATGCATGTCAATAAGAATAAATATACATTACTCCCTTCATTCAAAAATATAAAATATTTTTCTTACTCTTCAATAAAATAGTTATCTATTTTTTAATTAATCATATCTTTCTATATTTATCCCTATTAAACACTCTACACTAAATATAAAGTTATTATCAATATGAGCACTCTTGAAAAAAAAGGCAATAATTACACCTTGAAAGATTAAAAATACTTTACATTTTTTAAATATTCAATTTCTTAAAAAATCTTATATTTTTTAACAGAGGAAGTATTTTTTTTCTTTTTACCTTTGGTTCCAATTTATAACAAGTGAAAAGAATGTCATAAATTTTTAGATACGAGATTTGAGGTTAATAAACCTATGAACAATAAAAAAAAATGAGAATTTAGGTTAATAAATCTAAGAGGTAAAATGATTTTTTTTAAGTACTAAGCTGGTTATGTTTTGAATCAAGATTAGTTGGAAGAAAATCCTTATATTTTGGATTAAAGGCAGTGCAACATAAGACATTTTTTAGAAGCTCAACATAAACTAAAATATAAGATATTAGGCAGGTTTTATATATTTTTTCAATTATACACATACTTTATTAAATTACATTCTAGTAATTAATGAGAATGTCTTAAATAAGTCAAATGTTATATTTATTTTACTCAATAGTATAATTGGAAAGATGTGAAAGTTTTTAAGAAATTAAGATTTAAACCAATTTTTTTAGAAATGTAAATTAGTTAATAATAATTTATATTATAAATTATAAAACTAATACTTATATTGTGATTAGGAAAGGGTATTATTTTTTTATCATACCAATTTAATCTATAACCCTAACTAATTACCGTTGGATCAACTTTAACCATGCATCCAACTGTTCTTTGCATTTTTAAAATTTTGGTATGCCGTTTTTTTATTTTTCATGCCTTCTAGAATTTGTATATGGTACTCCTTCCATCCTGATTATAAAACACTTCTAGATAAAATTATAAAAAATAAGAGCTTTTAAAAAATCACACAGTTAATACTCTATTTGTTAAATAATATTAAAGAGAGAATATATAAGAAATGTAATATTAAAAAATTTCATTAATAAAATTTTATTTTTGCTAAAATATCTTATATTTTAGAATGCTGAATTTTTTTAAAAATTATTTTATAATTTGAGGTAGAGGTAGATTTTTTAAAATCATCACTTATATTATAAAGTATAATAATTGTTACTATATAACTACAGTTTTTAAATGTTAATAATGGAGCCATTTTTATTTATGGCCAAAAAAGAAAAGGAAAAAAAAAAAAAACAAAGAGAGTGGACAAAGAAAATTGGTGAGAAAAATATTAGGAAAAAAAAATATAATGATATGGCATTGGTATGTAGATAAACAATAGTTTAAAAAATAATTAAAAATATAGAACCCTTAATACAATTAAAAAAAATTAATTTATGAGACTAATAAAAAGGCATATGCTATGAGTTTAAATTTACGCAAAATAACAATTTATATTATAAGATGATTTGTTCCTTATATTTCAATAATTATAAAGTTTTCGTAATGGGGCCTATTTTTATTTATGGTAGAGAGAGAGAGAGAGAGAGAGAAGGAAAAAATAAAATTGGCGGGAAAAATATTAGGAAGAAGTATTATGATATAGTATTGGTATGTAAATAAACAATACTTTAATAAACAATAGAAAAATTGAATGTGGGACTCTTAATAAACTAAAAAAAATTAATTTATAAGATTAAAAAAGAGACATATGTTATGGATTCTAATTTACACAATATAACAAATATAGATGAATTGTTCCTTACATTTTTAACAATTGTAAAGTTTTTGAACAGTAATAATGGGGCCCATTTTTATTTATGGTCAAAAAGAAAAAGAAAAAAAGAGAGAGTCGAAGAAAGAAAATTGGTGGAAAAATATTAGGAAAAAGTATAATGATATAGTATTGGTGTAGATAAACAATAGTTTAATAAATAATAAAAAAAATGAATGTGGGACCCTTAATAAAAAAATTTATTTATAAGAATAATAAAAAGACATATGTCATGAATTTTAATTTACACAAAATAAAAACTTATATTATGAGATTGTTATAGCCTAAAATATATATATATATATATATAGACAAATAAATAAATAAATATAATACTAATAAGGATATATAAGTTGGTGTTTTAATAGTAATAATATTAATTTTTGAGAACATATGCAGCAAGAAGAAGACTTGGTGTAGTGATTATTATATAAGCCCATATGTAAAAGGTCTGAAGTTTGAAATCTCGGGAGCACAAAGAGGAATTTTATTTCTGTTGGTTTTAGTCTATATAAAATTATCATAATGCCTTCTTCCTCATTTGATAAATTCTCTTTTACTTCTTCCTTATCCAGTCGCACTCTCTCTCTCTCCCCCCCACACACACATAGAGAGAGAGAGAGTATTCAATATTGTTCTCCAACCTTTTACCATAATCGACTATCTCTCCCCGTTTTACTCCTGGCTATCACCGACAATACAGAAGGCTCCCATTGATTAGTGACATTCAAACACTCCTTTATGCGTGCGGACTTTGTTTTTTTCCCTCTCCTTCTTGATCTGTTGCTTTCCTTGCATCATTCACGTTTGAGATGTGGATGAAATAAAGGACCAGATTGTTGAGGCTAGAAGGTTTTTTTTTTCACGAGTCGTTCCTTTCCCGGCTCAACTATGAGCTCTGTGCTAAGCTTTGTGCTCCATTTTTGCATCCTCTCTATGTGCTGTTTTGTCTATGTGTTTTGGGCTGAGAAATCACAAAGCATCAAAACTAGAGTGGAGCTGTTACTGTAAGCTTGTATCGGTGCTGTGGAGTCGGGCTTCTTCCATTGCTACACATGGTGACAGTGTTTAGATTATTTCTCCCCTATTCAACCGGTTATTTCAATTTCTTCATCCTTGTCTTTTGTTGTGGTGAGTCAAGGGTGCGAGGAAGAACGAGACCCTAACCAGAATTAAAGGCAAGGAATATTTTGAGAATTTAAAACTTCAACAAGTAAGTGAATAGCATTCCATTTAATTTATTTTTAATAATTTTTATTGAAATATTTTATTCTTATGAATTACATTAATTTTAAAAATTATGAAATATTAATGAAGGACAAATGAGTTATGATATGTGCATTTATTTATTTTTAAAAGGATATTTTCAAGATTGATGAAAGCATTCACGTATGGTTGTTAAGCTTTGAAATGTATTGGCTATTTAATTACTACAAGTTTGGTATATTAGCTATTAAGTATGATTTTTGTAAATTTTGAGAATTGAAATAATTTATGCAAGTTTGGCATTGAGAATGGTAATTTTATTACAGTAATAATTATTTTTCTCGCATGTTTGAAACGTGATTTTGAAGAGGGCTCTAAATAGAACACTGCTACTAACGGCAATTCGTTACCCCGTGGCACGCTGTGGTTAAACACTAGCTAATTTGTTTCATAAGTTTTATTCTTACATTTAGTATTCGTGGGCTTTGTGTCCATGTTTATTTCGTAATTTCGACTGCGTTTGGTTACTTACCCTCGAGACTAGTGTGTCCATGTTTGTTTTCGTGACATAAGTCGTGTTTGGTTGTTTACTCTCGTGAACTGTGTGTCCACATTTGTAACCTGTTCTGTTGAGTTCTCAAAATTTTAAATGTTGATTAATATGTGTTTTCAAAATTTACATGATTTTGGCTAGTAATTTTACTACTTTGAGTTATATGTGAGTAAATTATTTTCTTTAAGCATGATAATATAAATTATTTTCAATTTACTCTTACTTTACAATTATGATTATGACTTACAGGCTTATAAATTTTTGTGGAATTATTTTTAATTAGTTGACACCATCATTAGAATTGGTTGATTTAAATTTTAAGAATTTTACCATAGGAATGCTATTTACTGAAAAAAATTATTTTGGCTTCAATTTTGTTGGCTAACGCTAATCCCACCATCAATCTCTAAAGGGCAAAATAACTATAGTGGTGAAAGTTTTTGATTGGTACTATTACTTTTAATGTAAATATATAATTCGTAGGTCTTTTT